TATGACTTTTTAATAATAGACTTATCACAACAAAATAATTCACTCATTCAACAAGACAACGCAAATATCAGAACATTTAACAATCACATTACGGGAAGTTTTATATATCTACCGAAACAACCAAACCTTCCAATAATAAATCCTTCTATATTTATATATAAATGTCTCCTTTTTTTTGTTATGATGTATATCTGTATATTTTACTAACCACAAAAATAGGTGTTCTACAAGGACCATCATAACAAAATCATAATTTTTTTTTTTGTAAAAACACCAGTTACGGAAAATCTGCTCTGAATCATAAAATAAAAAACTGCAATAAAACTATGACATTATTTAATTAGAAAAGTTTTTAATTGCTTTTATAAATAAGGAAATATTATTGACATTATTGTTTTAAGAAGAATGTTTTAATTAGAATAATTTATAAAGTTTTAAATCTTTTAATTTCTGTATTAATTTGTACCAGTTAGGTGATATTGCTATTAAGTAAAAAATATATTTACTAATCCTAAATATTACAATTCAGCAATCCCCAATATTTTAAAAAGAATTCTTGAATTCTTTTTTGTGTGTGCCGATTTTTGTAAATACGAACGTTCATACACGAGATTATCAGAAAATATGAGTGATAACTATAGTAAATTTAAAGCCAAATGTACCAAAAATTGAATGAAACATTAGATTACGGAGAATATTTTCCTCTTTTTTTAAGATTACTGGAGTGTGAAAAGTTATATAAAAACGGCGCTCACGTTATATTCTTCAAGTATTTTTTACAGATATATCTACGCAGAAAAAAATTGCATAAACTTCCAGCTATCAGCCAAGCTTTCAATAACTTAAATAAACACCTACCTCTATGTTAAAAAATGTATTTCTGCGGTATTTTAAACTAAAAGTAAGTAATATTTGTTACAAATTAGATTCCTTAAATTTTAAATCAGCTGATATTCCTAAAATTAAGTTTCAGAAAGGTATATTTAATTTTTGGAAGATTTTCTTAATACAGAGAATTACATTGCGCTGACAGGTGGTTAAAATAGTGCTAAAATCAGTGGTTTTTATCAATTTCAAAACGAAAACTCCAGTCTATTTAAATTTGTTTTGAAATACAGCAAGATATTTTGCTTATTGGAAATATTAAATTTAATCTATTAGCTTGCAATCAAAACTAAAATAAAAGCTTCAAGATTTTTCATTTTTTCAAAAATTAATTTTCAACGCGTTTCTGTGGAGGTACCTAATTTTATGCAGCATATTTTGCAAAGTAGCTTCAAATCTAAAAAGTAGCACATATAATTCAGGAAATTGATTTGAACCAAGCTCTGCCAGAAGTGACCATATTACTTTGTCTAAACGTAACTGCCACATCTGCATCATGTAAGAGGTCATTTTCTTCATTGAAGCGTGTGAATAATTATAATTATTCACTGGCTGAGCTGTTCTCAAAGTGAAGTAAATTTTGTTTTCATTTCCATAGAAAAAAATTAGATAGAGAGTGTAACTGTCTATTCTATGTGTATTATATAGCTACAATAGTTGGGCGAATAAACAATTCTATCGTCTGATACGCAGTTATTAGCTGAATTTTGATCAGAAAATGTTCACTATTCAATCTATGTGATTAATATTTATTTACTACTGAATTATGTGCATTTTCAAATGAATAAGAAAATGCTTTCCCTCTTCTTACGGACTTCATTATTCATATATGTGTGTAGATAAAAATCAGGTAAAAAACATTTTAAAATTAATTTTCTCTTTTAAAGTTACATCAGATTAAAAAACGCACAGGTGACAGAATTACAGAATGTGTGCGTCAGTGTGTGTCCGTCTGTATGTGTGTGTATTATGTGATTAAAATCATGAAGACATAAAAGAATAAATATCTCTCTATTTCCAGTATATTTTATTGTTCTTGTTCTATCGACTCTGTCACTGGCCAAAAAGCATTTGCTTTGAAATGCGTCTACTTTGTTTACTGACTACAAACAGATGAATGCCACTATCACGGAAACACTGCTTTTGAAATGACATTTTTCTTTGTGATGCATGTGATTATCATATGCCTCAACTTCAACCATTGGCCTACTATATTTCCCATCACCTACTTTTCTGGAATGTATTCAGGATTTATTTGCTAAATCAATAAAAAAAAGCTTCCTACAAGTTGTACCACCTTTATCTATTTTATTTTATTTTTAGTTTCTTCCACAGCAGTTTTGTTTGCTTTGCAAACTTTTTTTACGTCTCTGTCGCCAGATTTATGAGCCTTTCTTTCTCATTTGTAGAAGGTGATCGTAGAAGTACAACTAGCGGACCCCACAGCGAAGGAGACGAGAAAAGGGAATTTATGTATTCGATTAATTATTCGATTTAAATAAGAATAAAAACAATTTTCTTATTTTCGACTTTAAGTTTATTGAACAACATATCAACTGTTTTGTTTCACTATATTCTTTCAAAACACAACTTTCTTTGCCTTAGTAAATTTAGTGTAACAGTTTGCCTCTTCCCCTACCCACGCTACCGGCATCAGCAGCCGCAGAAACAAACTTCCTAGATGACCTCCGGCCAGCTTCTCCCCATGACTATCGTAAGTACACCTTGGAAAGATAGGAGTCCACAAAATAAATATGTATAAAATTAATGTTACAGCATGTTCCAATCTATCTACATTTAGTTTATTTCGCTTCCCGCACGATCTCCTGTGGTCCACATTGTTGTCAAGTACCCACTTTTCAATGCTCTTCAGAATTTTTTTGAAAAACGGGACATTTAAATAGGTCTTTCACTTATGTAGAAGCCACGTATTAAAGCGATTACAATGCCAATTTGCTGTAAACTTATTTGGATATCATTTAGACTATTTACATTTGGACTATTGTCCTCATCTTTGTTGTTGTTATCACAATGGCTGTATATTGACGTTGGTAATCTACAGGGAACTCCGAACTGATCCCTTTATTTAATAATTATAGACTGTTTCTATGTTTCCTTACTATCTTTTCTTTTTCTTTTTTGAGATCATTTAAAGGGCGGTTATAAACAGTCGTTTACTCCTTGTTACTCTTTCTGCTAAGCTGCGATATCACAAATATAATATAAGTGACACTGTTTAAGAAACATTTTACTCAAAAAGCTATTTTACCATTAAAAAAAGGCTGATTCTACTTAGTAAGTTCCTGAACTCGGTTGTTTTATTGATTAGAACGTAGGATTGGAGTGAGTGAGAAATAATAACTCTCTTAACCCACTCACTTCAAATTCGGAGGACTGAGGAAGAAGAAGGAATTAAATTTTTGAGCCTATGTGAAATTGTTTTTTGACCCAGGAAAACTTGTGTTCACAGAAATTATTCAGTTAGTCAAGAAGGAGAAAGAAAGTAGCGAAATTCCTTTTTACATAAAATGAGGACAAAATCAAAATAATGAGAGTGTCTGAAGTCATGTAAAAGGTTTCGTTTGAGTTCCTCGTGGCCATCGTTGAAGTACGCGCCAGTGTAATATTTACTCGTCAATTATATTATTAGCCTCTAACTAGTACGTTGCTCACTTCACCACATTAATTTAACTTAGATTAGGAAACCAAACTGACGTGAAGAAAAAAAGGATAAGCCAAAGACATCATTACACATAAAACTTGTATTTAACAAGATGTACAAACAAGGATGTGAAAGAAAGGCATGCATTGAGTAAAACAAGAGTTGTCTCTCCCTAACAATTATTTGTATTTCAAAGTTCAATGAAAGAAAGTTTGTGAGAGTTTCTTGTAATAATTGTTCTCAGTAGTTTTGCTGTGTAAGAAAAGTTTATGTTAGTGTAAGGAATGTTCAGCATGTGAGTGGTGGTGTGAGTGAGAAGGTTGGAAAAGTTCGTAAGAGTTCGTACGCACGTGAATGCGTGAAATATTGTTTAACGTCTGACTGTCATGGTCGAAACGATAATTCTCTGGGACTACATTTTGAAGCAAGAAGAGAGAAAAAAGAGAAAGAGGCACACTCATCTTTGCTATTTATAGATAATGTAATCACGTGACAGGATCACAGAACCTTTGCGGGAAACGTGAAAAAATATATTGTGCGTGGGTGGATTGCAACGCCCACTTGTGTGTTTATTGACCAATTAGCGAGCGAGTTTTGGGGGAACCTAGGAAAGCCCCTGGGATCCGATTCTCCAAAAAGTGCACGAAAACGACTACATGAAAATATAGCGATTATAAAATTGTCGCATAGCTATGATTTATAAATTGTCCAATAATGTTGATTTATTATCCAATGAATGCTTGTTGTTGTATAATTTGAATTTGTGTAAGTATGTATGCATGTGTGATGATGATCATCACACGTTTCCTTGTCATTATTACTCTTCATTAATCTTCTTGGCGTGGGTAAGTCCACTCCCAGCGACAGATTTAGGACAAATGGGGCCCTGTGCTTGTAAAGTTATGAGGCCCCTTATCTCCTGAAGGCATGGAAGGAAGATGCCCGCCTCGGCCAACGGAGCCCTGTGCTTAAGCACACTTAAGCACTATGGCAAATCTGGCACTGCTCACGCCACCATAGAATCCACAACAAATCCTTGATTAATTCCTTGTTCAAATTTTCACTTCTTTTCACACTGATTATTTTGTTTTTTCAAATTAAACCATTTTTATCTTGTTTCATTATCCTTTTTTCCAATATATATTGTGCCGGACAGGAAGGAACATTCGACAAAGAAAAAAATTTGGTACACCCATAAAGAAAGAGGAAAAAAGAAAACAAACATTCGTATGGACAGTGTGCTTTTTATAAAGTCTCTCTCTCTCTTTCTCTCTCTTAACTATTTTCGTCACATTTGTATAAACAGCGTTAACCCAAAAAGAAAAAAGAAAGCGAAAAGCAATATAAAATTAAATAAAGTATACTTGTCCGTCTCACTGACTGTCTAGTTATATACCTTGTAGTGCAACACTAATTTCATTTTTCTGTTCTTTTCCCTTTAAAATTGTCAGCAATGGATCTTCATGTGGCTGCCTTCTATATCGCTTTTGCCACCTTCAGCGGTAAGATGACATTTTTAAAATCTTATATTATTTTTTTTACATTTAAAATCATAAATATTTTAATCTTCTTTTGTTTATGACACAAGTAGGAACATAAAATCTAACGTACACAAAAATGCATATTTTAACATCCAAATTTAAACATAAAGTAAACACGCATTTGCATCGTTAAATGAAATGTAATTTATTCCAGTACGTTGTTGTAAATATTGACGCCTTACTGTAAAAGAAAAATAACAGTTTACAAACACATTATACAACAAAATATTAATGGGGAGACATTTTTGTAGTACAAATTAAAATGCAGAATAGTACCACAACAAACTTCTAAAAAATAACAAAAACGAAACATTTATTTTAAATAATTTAAACGCCTTCTTCAAACTTAAATTTCGGTTTTATTTGTGTTACATACTACTTTACAATAAAAGTAAACCCCAGTCTAACCACAAAAGTAAGGCCCACTCTATGCACATATTGCAGACAGTAATGGTTTTTGGTACCGAGATTTTCTAATAAGATACACGATGAATATCAGACGCTAGTGCAAGTAAAAATATGTGAAAATTGATCACAAAGAATTTTAAAAAATGGGAAATTGATGACAAAAAATTGAAAGAAATTAGTCGCGGACTGCAAGGCTAAAATTTTACACTACACTACAGTAAATTACTGAGCAAGATAGAAACAGAAGAGAGGGATGGTGAGAACATTATTTTTGTTTCTACGGAGAGTTAGGTTTCTACAAAGGCAGTGAAATAATATTTCAATAAAGTTATGCTTCCACATAACTGAATTTTTCGTCAAATGTAATCTGATTAAACACAAAAAATTACTATTTTGAAAATCTCTTGTGGGTCACACTGGGAATGTTTTGCCGCTTTTGCGGGTTTTATAGCGTCCTGCGGGCCGAATTTTGTGCGGGCGTGGTCAAGACCCTTTCTACTCGGACAAAAAAATAAAGTACAATTAAATAAAAATAAAAAAATATTATAAATAAAATCAAATATTCCAAATAAAATGAAGAAAAGAGAAATAAATTTTGAGCTTAATTTATTTTTTTAAATACTTGTTCTGTGTTAAGAAGACAGTTTTGAGTTCAAGATATCTGTTCTGTTCGTTTAGCTTTTTCGTTTAACTTCTTTTATTGTTATTTGAGAATTGATTTGGATATTTAGAAAAGTATAGGAAATAAAGAATTAAAAATGTAGTCTGCGAACACATCTTGTACAACAAAAGAGAATGAATCAGAATCAAAAGGGAATCCAAATCCAATCGACTTTTGCTTTGCTTTTTTTATGTTTTTTTTTTTTTTTTGTGCTTTTTAACGACTTTTTAATAACAGATTTTATTAATTTCGCTGGAAGAAGATATACGCTGTATTTGCAATGAACAATATTGCTAGCCGCCTTATAATGATGATCCACGGACGTAAAAAAAAAAAACGCATTTTAAATAATTTAAATATACTTTCTTCGAATGTGAATTTCGGTTTTATTTGAAAGATAAAATTAATCCGAATAGAAAAATAATTTCCGTAAAAGATTTTAAGCTTTAAAAGTAAAACATTGGCACGTTTACTAGTCACTCATTGAATCATCGAACCGCCATTATTGACGAAAAATGTAGACAACAAATTTAAAAAAAAACTTTTAAAAATTAAAATTCCAATATTTTTTCGTAGAAGTCATTTAGTAAATTTAAGGTTTAATTTACTGGATTTTGTAAAAAAAAAAAAAAAGTAATGTCTATGTTTCACTTAAAACTTAGTTTATTTACGCACGGTAGCCTGTAGCGTAGGGTCAAATGTCGAAAATTAAAAAAAAAAAAAACATGTATATTGTATAATTACACTCCTGACTTAAAAAGTGCACGAAAAATTAAAAATTAAAATTAAAGAAAAACAAAACATCAGCAGTACGATAATCAAGATGTTGGTATTTATGTTTTAAAAATATCTTTAAGAATATAATTAATTCTACGCTTTTATTAAACTTAGTAGAATTAATATTTTTTAAAAAAAATAGGTATCTCCTCAGATTCGCAATACCTAAGGTTTAAAATTAATTTAATAGATGAAAATTGAAAAATCTTTCTTTAAGCTTTTATTTTATTTTAGTTTTAATTTCAAGCTATAAAATTACTATTTCCAATTAGTAAAATTTAAGTTCACTGGGAGCATATTTTTTTCCTAAACAAACTTGTTGGGGATTAGTGAATGTATTTGGTTAAATCAGAAGGAATTTTTAGGTGGCGTGTTTGTTAACATTCATCCACAACAAATAATAAACGAATATTTAGAACAGGTCATGCAAAGCAGAGTTAAAAATAAAGACAAGTAAAAAAAAATACACAACAATACGGTAATAATTTATATACAATTTAAATATATACAAATGAGTTATGAATTGGTGGTTTGTTGTATATTGATGTAATAAGACATGTAGTTTGTTGTTGAGTATGTTTGAATGCTTAAATCAGTGTTTTGATGATTTGTTGTAAGAATTAAACAGTTTGCTGTTCAACGTACAAAAGTGTTCGATTTTACAGTTCAAACGTTAGTGTATGTATACGAGTGTTATGTAAAATATTCTTTTGTACGAAGTTGCGTACCTTGAACTGTTATTTGTTAAAAGTTTTGTTTGTTACTGTCACTAATATGTAGTGAATATATATTTCACTTTCTCAAGTAAAGTAAATGAATTTTTTGAGAAGTTTGTTTAAAAGAGAGATTGAGTATGCCAAAGGGTTGTTGAGTCAGAGGTTAATTCGCGCGGGAAAGTCAAAGTTTAAACTGGCGTGGAATTGGTTGGCATCTCTCTGAGTGTGGAATTCTGACTGGTAAGTTGGTTCGAATTCCTTTCTTTTATAGGTTCTGGAAAGGAAAAATAGGCTCAAACACGTTTGAGCGCCAAAGACATTTTTCACGTGCATACTTAGTTTTTTAAGGCTGTTAGCCAATGAGAAATTGAATTTGTCAGAACTAGTGTTTTGATTGGATAACAAGTGTGTGGGTGTAAGAATGGATTGTTCTGCAAAGGGGTGAAAAGGTAACGTGGATTATTCCACAAACTGATTTCAACATCATTTTTAGCCCTCGTTCATTGCAATGTAATTCTCTTTATTAAAAAATCTTCCAAAAATAAAATATACTTTTCTGAAATTTTATTTGAGGAATATTAGCTGATTTAAAGTATTGTTGCAGACCCGGTAGTATGCAGTGCTGATTTATTAAAAGGTGGCCTTGTGCCAGACACTACTTATTACTACCGAATCCACAAACAAAGTAAAAATATTGAGTGAGTGATCTTAGTGAGGAAAAGGGGTCATTCAACAAGTGCATAAATATAATACAAGTAGATAGCCGGAATTAAATGACAAAAGGCGTCTGGTTGAAAAACATATATGAAATTTTATTATATTTAAACAAGTAATTGTCTTGACAGTTGAGACCATTAGTAAAAGTGTTCCGCGCCAAAACAGAAAACCAAGATGGCCAAGGCGGGAACAGTTCCATCAGAAAGAAAGTTCTGGAAAAATGACTTGTTAAACGAAAGGTGTATGTGTACACAAATAGGAAAAGTACTCACTGGGAAGTTTGATAGTGTGAGTGTATGTAATATTTTTTTAGGTATGAACAGATTATCAACTTTCATTGAGGAGAATTCAGAGTTGTTTGCATCAAGACGAGGTTGAGTCTTGGAATGGTGTGAGGGCGACCGTGTTGTAGAACTCTGGTAGTGAATAGAGGAAAGTTCGAAAGTTGTTCGCATCAAGACAAGAAGTTGGTCTTGGAAAAATATATTGACGACGGTGTCGTAGGAACTCGACATTTTCTAGTTGAAAACGGAGAAAAGGTTCAACAAGCTGTTGCATCAAGACGGGGATAAGTTTTGGAAAAATATATTGACGACGGTGTCGTAGAACTCCACGTTTTCTAGTTGAAAACGGAGAAAAGGTTCAACATGCTGGTTGCATCAAGACGAGAATGAGTCTTGGAAAAATGTGAGGTCGACATGTTGAAGTTTTGGTTAGTTAAGAATAAGATATTTCGGCCCGCGTATGGGTTAGGGGCACGGAATAAATGAGTTGTCCGTCTAGCTTGAAGATCGGGAAGCAACTGAGTTGGAAACGGTGTTCGTCTGTGACGTCAGGAAAACGCGCGGGAAAAAATTCAAATTCTGATTTTAGACGTTATCAGGAGTGGCTAGTAAGCAACCTTCCTCACTCCAGCCAAAAGAGGCTGTTTACTGCTATGTCTAGCTTAATGTGAGAGGAAGGGGTGCAATTCGCGGGCGCGCGCGCGCGCGCACACACGTACAAGTGTGGAAGGAAAGGAGGAAAACTCGCACGCGCGTAAAATGTAGGTGGAAATACTGTGTTATTCCACAGTATAATTAATCTGATTTGAAACAAATATTACTTACTTTGAGTTTGAAATATAGAAATGCATTTTTTAACACAGCGGTAGCAGTTTATTTAAGGTGTTGACATGTTGACAGTTTGAATGATAGATGGATGTTTATCTAATGTTTTCTGTAAAAAGTAATCGAAGAACATAATGTGAGTGCCTTTTATTTTATATAATTTTTAAGTACTCAGTAATCTTCAAATTTAGGAAAATATTCTCCGTAATTTAATATTTTATTGAAATTTTATATACTTTGAATTTAAATTCAGTATAATTATCGCTCTTATTTTCTGATGTTTTGCATGAATAACCGTATCTACAAAAATCGGCACGTTTATACTACACATACAAAAAAAATTCTTTTAAATAGATTGGTGTTTGGTGAATTGTACTAAACTTTTGCATTTATGATTACTAAATATAATTTTTATTTAATCACCTAACGGGGTCAAAGTAATGCAGAAATTTAAAAGATTTAAAATTTAATAAATTATTCTAATAAAAATTAAAAAAACTAAAAACAATACTTATAAAAATCAATTATTCATCGAATTTTTTTTTTTACTACAATAGTGCCCTTAATATATCT